ACCAATGCCGAATCTCCGTAAATATCAAGAATCTTAATCCTTAGATCCACTGCTTCTTCGAGACCCATAATACATGCCTCATATTCAGCCATGTTGTTCGTGCAGTCAAACTTCAATCTCGCCGTAAACGGGATATGAGTACCTCGGAGAGTGACGATGATTTCCCCAATTCCATTTCCATAAGAGTTCACAGCTCCATCAAATATTAAACCCCAATGGGATTCGGGATCAGGTCCTTCTTCAGGTAACGGCTCTGCACAATCTTTAGCCTTCAAGTACATAACATCTTCATCTGGGAAATCAAACTTGATGGATTGATAATCGTCAATTGGTTGGTGAGCCAAATGGTCGGCTAAAATACTCCCTTTGATTGCTTTCTGAGTGTGATACTCAATGTCATATTCGGATAACAACATCTGCCAACGGGCTATTCTTCCAGATAAGGCGGGCTTTTCAAAGATATACTTGATCGGATCCATTTTGGAGATCAACCAAGTGGTGTGGTTAATCATATACTGGCGCAGACGGCGAGCAGCCCAAGCTAAAGCACAACAGGTTTTCTCAAGCATTGAGTATCGAGACTCACAGTCTGTGAATTTCTTACTCAGATAATATACGGCATGTTCCCTTCTTCCAGTCTCATCTTGTTGACCAAGCACACATCCCATGGAATCTTCCAATATAGTCAGGTACATAATCAAAGGTCTTCCTTCCACTGGAGGAATCAATATGGGAGGTTCAAGTGAATATTCTTTGATGCTATCAAAAGCTCTCTGACAATCTTCTGTCCACACACATCTTTGGTTCTTTCGGAGAAGCTTGAAAATCGGCCCACAGGTAGCAGTCATATGAGATATAAATCTAGAAATATAGTTCAGTCTCCCAAGGAATCCTCTTACTTGTTTTTCCGTCTTGGGTGCGGGCATTTCCCGAATAGCTTTGACTTTATCAGGATCTACCTCAATACCTTTCTGACTGACAATGAAACCCAGAAGTCTTCCAGAACACCAAAATGCACTTGTTGGGATTCAGACGGAGTTTATACTTTCTCAAACGCTGGAATAACTTCAATAAATGTTCCAAGTGATCTTCTTCAGTTTGTGATTTGGCAATCATGTCATCTACATACACTTCTATCTCTTTATGCATCATGTCATGGAACAAAGCAGTCATGGCCCTTTGGTATGTTGCACCAGCATTCCTCAAACTAAACGGCATAACCCAATAACAAAATGTTCCCCACGGTGTAATGAAAGCTGTCTTCTCCATATCTTCTGGTGCCATCTTGATTTGATTGTAACCAGAGAAACCATCCATGAAAGAAAAGACTTTGAACTTTTCAGTACTGTCGACCAATACGTCAATATGCGGTAATGGGAAGTCATCCTCTGGGCTAGCTCTATTCAGATCTCTATAGTCTACACACATTCGAACTTTGCCGTCCTTCTTAGCAACAGGCACTATATTGGCTAACCACTAAGGATAGACCGATGTAACAAGGAAACCTGCATTAATTTATTTTTGAACTTCTTCTTTGATCTTGTCAGCCATATCGGGACGAGTCCTTCTGAACTTCTGCTTAATCGGCGGACATTCAGGTCTCAACGGTAAACGATGCTCCACAATATTGTTGTCCAAACCTGGCATATCTTGGTAGGACCAAGCAAACACATCAACATACTCTTTGAGAAGCTCCAACATTTTCTCTTTGACCTCTGGGATAAGCAATGCTCCGACCTTGACTTCCTTTTTATCTTCTTCATTACCCAAATTGATCATCTCTATAGGTTCTTCAAACGGCTGAATAGTCTTTTCATCGTGCTCAAGTAAACGGGAAATTTCATCAGGAATCTCTTCATTATCCTCTTCCTCGGCTCTGAACACAGGGAATTCAAAGTTGGGAGAGGGCATAGGATCATTGTTTTCAATGGTTAAGTCATGGATTAATCTGCACATATGATTATGCTTTATTTTAGAAATCGATTTGTACAAATAAAACAAAAAGTTATTATATTTTCCCATTACTACCAATTAATTTTCGTTACTATTTCCCAGAAAAAGTGAAAAAATAAAACAGTAGTGGACAAAATAACATTTTTATTCATGAGGGGAAATACTTGAAACAAAGAGCCCAGACATTTTCTCTTTTTCCTTGGGCAGAGCAAAAGGATTTATTTTCAACATAGCCCGACACAAATACTTTTCGCCTTGGGCAGAGCGAAAAAAAAATTCAAAAATAAAACAAAACATTACTCAGAAATGTGCATCACAACAGGAACATCAACAGCAATCCAGTTCTGGAAAAACCACTCCATGCGTTACAAAATCCAGTTTTAGAAAACATGTGAAGTGGAATCGGATGATGCATGATATGCGATGCAAATGATCGTTCATTTTGATAGTTTTTTCAAGAAAATATTGATGGATGCATGGATGAATGATAATGCAACAATTACACACAAGTTCACAAACATAGGGGTTCAAAGGTTCAACGTTTGTGCATGGAGTCAAGGGATAAAGTCTACCCCAAGGTATGTACTAATGGTTTAATCACACCTGCAAGACAAGGTTCTAAGAGTTCCCAGAGTCTACATCCCTCTTTCGGATATTACCAACGTCTTGATTACTCAATAATTCGCAATATTCTCAAGAGAAACTCATCCGAGCGTAGCATCGCGTAACAACTACTTCCGGATTACTCCGTTATAATCTCCGCGCTACACCTAAAAGGCCAAGATGGGTCAGGGTTCTACGGTTCTCAATTTCTCTGGCTCCCAGGTCGAAAATAATAATGTCTTCCCGATTACTCGGTAAACAAATATTATGTTCAAAAGGGCCTTCCATTGAGTGGGGGATCTCATGCCTCCTTCTTCGGGATTACTCCCTCAAAGTTAACATGACTATATCGCCCGTCCTATTCTTAAGTGTAACTTAATCCGGGTATAGGATTCGTCCTTTGCAAAAAACCCAAACAACCCCAATTTAAACACATAATCAAACAAATCAAATAATAATAAAACAGATAAAACAAACTAGGCTTAACCCACTTAGGGATGGACCAGCAAGAGGTCAATCTTTCCCCAGCAGAGTTGCCAATTCTGTAGCGATAAAAAATGTAGCGGGGTAAATCGGAGATCGAACTATTAATTAATTCGTCTCACAAAAGCAAGAGTCGCCACCGCGCTTTATTATTTCCAAGGGAAAAGGGGAAAGAGCGAAATAAAACCCTAAAGTATGCAATGTAACATAATACTTTTTAAAAGTAATGAAAATACAAGGCGTTTTGAAAAGAGGTCTAGAGTTAGGGGGTTGGTTATACAATGGGAAGGTATTAGCACCCAATGTATCTATAGTATTCTATAGGAACCTTTTGAAATATCTGTTTATTAAAATGTTCGTTTGATTAAAATAAATTGTTTGGCCAAAGATGGGTATTGGACGGTTTTTTTGAAGATACGACGACCTAATGTCGAAGTTTTGACTTAAAAGGTGTGAGTTTTAAAAAAATTGAATATTTGGGAAAATTATCTTAAGTTTTTAATAAAATGAGGGTATTCGCACAATGTTTTTTGATGACATGAAGTCGACAAAAATTAAACAATTCCCTTGGATTAAATCGAGCAAGTAAAATAAGATGAATCCACAAAGTATAAGCATTCAAAAATTCACAAGAAAACAAATCTAATGAAACAGATTAATGACCAAAAGCATCGAGAAATTAAAATGACAAAGATATTTAAATAGAAGAAAAGGGAACTAATTATCTAAGTCAAAATTATAAGATTACTTACTAAAATAATTCTAAACTAATTTGTTATCTAAAGTTATAAAAATAATTCTAAAATTACTACGCTAGATCTAAACTAAATTAAAATTTTAATATTAGAAAATTAGATCTACTAAATAAAAATTCCAAGGTTGCTAATCTAAAACAAAAAAAAGTTCCAAAATTACTAAACTAAATCTAAATCAAATAAAGTTCTAAAGTCCCTAAACTAAAACTAACAACTAAAATTCTAAAGTTAACTTAAATAAAAACAAATAAAATTCTAAAGTTTACTAAGTCAAATCTAAATGAAATAAAATCCTAAAATTTACTAAGTCAAATCTAAATGAAATAAAATCCTAAAGTTACTAAAATAAAACTAAAACAAAATAAAATTCTAAAGTTTACTAAGTCAAAACTAAAACAAATAAAATTCTAAAATTTACTAAGTCAAAACTAAAACAAATAAAATTCTAAAATTTACTAAGTCAAATCTAAATGAAATAAAATCCTAAAGTTATTACTAATATATATATATATATATATATATATATATATATATATATATATATATATATATATATATATATATATATATATATATTTTTTTTAAATAAGGTTAAAGAGTTAACAAAACAAAATAAAAAAGAACCTCACAAGGACTTGAACTCAGGACCTTTTAGATTGCTGGTAACACCTTTTACCAATTGAGCTAATACTGTCTATTCATTAATAGCATGAGTTAATAAGAACATAAAGGAAAATTGAAATTGGAATGGACTAAAAATGGGCCCAATGGGCCACCGGGTCAAGGGAAAAGGAAGAGAAACAAGAAACCCTAGGGAGGCAAAGGGGGGCGGCGGCTGCAGCTGGCTTTATTGGAAAGGGAAAAAGTCAGACTTAAATATTATTGTCATTATATCCTTTCCAAATAAAATAGATTAAATAAAAAAAAATGGAACAAAAACTAAGCAATTGTATCGATCCTTTCTCCCCCCACAGTATTCAACAACATCACCTTCCTCTTTTCTCTCAACCGTAACTCATCTATTCCTTCCTCAAAATTCATTTTTTCCTTTCAAAAAAAATTCATCATTTCTCCTTTCTATTTCTCAAACACACCAGCAAGAACAGATTTACAATCCTTATTTCAAAAATTGAAAATGAAAACAAAGAGATGGACTCGGAACAGTAGAGAGGCGGACAGAGAGATGGTGTTGCATTGTTACCAAAATTAGTTGTCTTCTTCACGGGTGTGTGCGGTTTGCGAAAACAAGGAATTTGAAGGTAGAATCTCTGCATCTGCGTCCGGATCTTGTTCGGTTCCGATTGGGGATGAAGATTGTGCGAGCGGAAATAAGTATATGTAGAGGTGTGCGGTTGTGATTCTTGCTATCAAATCGCAAGGTTAATTCTTAGTTTGCCAAGATTTTCCTCTTTATGTTTTGTTTATAATTAGTTATGGAGTTTAAAAAAAATGTTTTTTTTTGTTCGTAGGAATGTTAGCAAGAAGGCATTAAAACAAAGGTTCAAAAAAACAATCATACAATCATACAATCATACAAGGAAGTTAAATGGCAAGAGGGTAAATGGCTTACCTTGTGATAAATATGCAACTGAAAAAAATGGGTTTATAACTGTTCCCGTCACCCAAGGAAGACCAGCAGTTGTGACTATTGTAACATGTCTTTCATTGTTATAGAAATCCTGCTTTGGACGGTCTGTCCAGAGTCCACCTTCATACCGGTGTCCTGTGCTCTGAATGCAGTAGAAGTTGGTTCTTGCATTTTTCATACAAGCTCTCAACTATCTTGTCGCATATATCTAGTGGTGGCACTTCCTCTGATTCCTGTTTTTTGTAATGAGATTTCTGCCTGTGTTGTTAGTGTTATTGGAGGTGTGGCAGCTGCTTGCTAAACTACCAATTCTATGTGCATACTGTGTGCTGTTTTGATTCTCTAAGGTGGATGATTTTTTTTAGGTCTCCAAAATCAACCTTTTTGTTCCCCCTTGTATGTATTTTTTCTACTGTCTTATTGCCAAAACATAAGTGAAATCGGGGGGAGATTTTGATAAGCTTGGATAATTTTGGTGATTTGCTTTATTTCTTTTTTATTACAGGTTTTAGTCTTGCTAAAATGGTGTAATATTTGGCTGGTTTGGACTGACATGATGCAGGTTTTTTTGGATGTATTATGGTGCAGATTTTGCAGTATGACAGTAGCAGGTTTGTGGGAAGATTTGGCAAGAGTTGAAGCAAATTTTGGATAGTTGTGTTTGGATGTGCAGCATGAAAATGACAAGAGATGAGATAAAATTGTTGTTGTAAACTGTGACCCTCCTCCAACTTTATGTTTTCTTTCTTTTTGGATAAAACAAAATTAACAACAAGAAAAATAGTAATAATAATTAACCAAAAAAAGAGGAGATTGTTAGTGACAACTAAACTAAAAGTACAAAAAATTAAAATAAGAGACACAAAAAAAAGTGTTTAGTAATAATAATAATTCAATTTAAGAAATTCAATTAATATTAGAACTAAATCAAAATTAAAAAGGAACTAAAATTATAATGACTAAAGAAATAAAATGTAAATAAAAGAAAATGGTATTAACTATATATTTTTTCTTTGAGATTTTCTGGATGTAAAATACAACTAAAATAAAGACGACGCTAATCACATATTTTTTTGGATTTTTTCAAATAAAGTGATACAAACATATAAATTTAAATAGAATTAATAAAAGACCATATTTTTTTTATAATATGAATAAAGAAATAAAAAAATTATAAATAAATAAATAAAAATAATAACACATGTTAAGTGCGTCTTTTGCAATTTTAATGGAAAAGAAATCATGAATAAAACACAGTCGAACTCAAATTTCACCAAATTCACAAAACAACTTTTAACGTCAACAATTTTTCATGGCTTTTTAATGCATAATTTTCCCTTGATTTATAAAGAAAAGTTGTAGATGATGTCAAGGAAAATCATGTGCAAAAACAACCTCTCAAAAATGTCGAAATTTGAAGAAGTTGTGAATTTTTAAAATCTGCTTTAAAAATTGATAAAAATAGGTCAAATCGCTTGTGAACACTTGCAATGTAACGATGCAGATGAGAGGTGATATCTTAGGTCAAAAATTGGGGTATGACAGTAACCATTAGACAATGATACTCAAAACATAAGTAAAAAAGAAGATGTAACTCCTAATATGTCACCATGTTGATTAACAAGTGAGTATTAACCAAGAGGATCATAGGAGCATATATAGTTGATATGATAAGATACGTGAAGTTAATACACAAGCACAAAGAAATGTTGGACTCAAAGTCCTCAAGGGAATTCAAACACAAACTAGGTCAAGACTAGTGTATGGCTCCTATTATGTCATCATGATGAGTTGATAATGAAATACCAATCAAAGAATCAAGGAGAAAAGAAATGAAGGTATAAATATACAAAAAGTCAGTAGTAAACACACAAAGCATCATTCATTATGTATCCAAGGTACTTGACAAAGGATGTATCCAAACAAACTCTTAACCTTGATCATATTTGGTGGAATCAAACACCAAAGCAAAATACAAGTTAAGATGCTTAAATGATTCAATGATTATGAACTTAAGATCCTAAACAATTTATGAGAATAGGGCACAAAGAGCGAGGCTTGATTCTTTTAGTATTTCACAAGTGCATTCAATATTTCTCACATCATAAACAAAAAAGTACAAGAAAAGATCAATCCCAAAATGAAATGAGGAAATTATCAAAGGAAATCAAATGCCTCTCAAAAATTTTAAAAGGTTATCCTTGAGTTATCATATCTCAAAATCACTATGATTCGTATTCATGATAAAGATTTACTCAAAGGTTTTATCAAAAAGCCTCAAATTAGGGTTTCAAACTTGTTCAATTTAAGAACTCGAACAAAATGATCACCAATGGCTATAATGGATCCAAAAAAATTGTTCTAAGCTCATGAGATATTAAGAGAGTCCAGGGGATATCATGAGTACAAAGTTCAGCCTCAAAAAGTTCACAAAAATAACAAATGAAAAGCATAAAGTTCAAACAATTCTCAAAGGACACATTCAATCAAAAATTTGGTCAAAAATAGAAAGATAACTTGTAAAATCAAACCAAATTAATCCTAACACCCTAAGGACGTTTAAAAGTCAGAGTAATAGTTAAAAGTTCCTGGAATGAGGAAGAGATATTATTTTGAAATTCAAACATCAAAAATAGTTAGCAAAGTGCTAAAACTAGGGTTGCTTCACAAAATATTTTGAGAAAATATGAGATCAATCTTTAAAATTCGAAAAAAATTATTCAAATGATCTTAACTTATCCAAGAACCTTAAACATATTTTTCTTGATTTGTAGAAGTGAGAGAAGTTGGAGAATTATTTTTTTCTTTAGACTTATGCAAGAAGAGGGACCAAAAACAACCATTAACTTCCAAAAATTTTACAAACATTAAAATTGACATGTAAATAAAATTAAAAATCATGAAAAATAATTTTAATACCTAAGGGTCAGTAAGCCTATTTTTTTGGAATTTTATCACAAGAGGAAAAAATTAAAAAAAAATATTTGCACAATGCAACAAAAATAACAAAGAAAATGACATAGCTAATCAATTGATTTAATTAACGTGTCAAGAATTATATAAAATCAATAAAAAATCATTTCCATGAGTTAGACTCAAAATTTAACTCAGAATATTTTTTATGGATTTTTTAAATTTAATTAAAATTAGAAAATAAAATCAAAACCTTAAAAGGTGATTAACATACCTAATTAATCTATATGAATTATTTAATCAATCAAAAATGGTAAAAATATGAAATAAAATTCAAAGTATGAAAATATACAAAAATTGAAGTTCAAAATATTTTTATGGCAGTTTTTGTATAGAAGAAACTAATTAAAATAAATTGAAGAAAACAAAAAAAAAAGAATAAAAAAGAGACCTATTACACCTATTCTAAGCAGAAAGCGCTACAAAAAGATCTAACACTATTCAATCAGAGCCATACATGTAATCGTCCCTACCACACCACCAAAATCCTAACGAGCTAAAGCATAATTTTGCAAGTTATGTTCAGAGCTTCACATCTTACTCAATTCTCAACCATTTTTTACGATTCAAAGCGCCATGTAAAGTTCACACAACCAACAACATCACACAACTTATAGAATTTAAAATCGAGGCAAGATTGAGAGATACAAGAGCATAAAGTTATTGAAAAACACAAGTTCACAAAATTTTTAGAAAAGCACAAACATGAATGGAGCTCAAATTCAACAATTATACATCAAGCCTAATGCATGGCCAGCTACCAACACATTAACAAGCATTTAAACATTGAAACATTAGCAATAAAACCTTCTGATCTTCCGTCTTGAACTTCAATGAAGATGAATGGATGAAGATAAGAGCTCTGGAGAAAGAGAAATAATAGCTTCGAAGGAAAGTTTGAAGAGTGAAGAGAAAACTTCAGAAGTTTATTGAGAGTGAATAAAAACGCGTCCTTAGAAAATGAGGGTGATAGTATTCTTATATAGACCATGTAGAGTAAGGGTACAGTGGTCATAAGGCTTGAGAGCCGTTAGAGGGCATATTTAACAAAAATAAAAAAAGTTATGAGCTTGCAATGGTGAGGTGTGTTTCATGTTATTGCATACTGAAGCTTGCATTGTTTTGATGAGGAAATAGTGAGTGGAATGGGAATAAATTGTGTGTGCATGATAAGCTAGCCTACAGAAGCACATGGGGTGGAAAAAAACTTGGAGGGAAAAATTACCAATTATGGCAAAAATGAGAAAAGTGTGAGGTCTGAGGTCATGTGCATTGTTTGGCTTGATTTGGCAAGGGAATATGTTTGCAAGTGTGTGGAGAGAAAGAGTGTAAAATTTTTATAACAACAAATTTCGATTGAGCACAAAATTATGAAAAATAATGCATGCATGCATAGTCCATTGATCAGCTCAAACTCCATTCAAATTTCTCCCAATTCCCTCGTGAGATTTGCATGAAAATGAGGCCTATGGAAAGCTTGCATAACCAACTTCAATGTATTGGCTTTGAATTTTTAAAATGGTGTTGTAAAGGTCTTGGAAATTGGCAAGAAGTTTGGTAAAAAACTGGGTCTGGCAAGGCATGGTGCGCGTGCGTGCGTGACTTTCATGTTGGCAATTTTGTCAACTTCATAACTCATCTTTTAACACATGATAAGCATGACATACATCAACTTGATGCTTATAATCTACAAAATATTTGGAAGAAGCAATAAGCAAAGCCCATTTGTTCCACCACTCATCCATGCTACAAACCAAAATACAACCAAAAACATAATTTTTTGTTCCATTTTTTCCCCTTAAAACTATAACCACTTTTTCTTTTTCTTCAAGTTTTATGAGATTATAACAAAACAATTTTTTCTTCTTCAAATTTTAAGAGACTGACCGTAACAAAAGTTAATGTATATGTAGATATTTAATTTGCAACAGTGTGGGACCCACCCTAAGGTCAATGTCCAGCCATTCCTAGAAGGTTTAAATTCCCACAACTCATAACATAAATAAATAATTCATTCCTTATTTGTATCATACTTATGCTTATTAAAAACTTATTCTTTGACCACATTTCCGATAAATGTCAATTCATTTTAACATGTAACACACAGTTTTTAACAAAAATAGGTGTTGAGTATGAATATTTCATTCTTATTTTTTTAATATTAATAAAATGAATATTTCACTACTATTATTTTAATATTAATAA